TTAAGTCTGCCGTTGCTATAATAAATTTGGCATTTGAAAATTAGGAACTAAGGCTTGGATTCCATCTCTATTCGGAAGTAGGACATCAGCTGGAGAGTCTATGGCTTGCAGACCTTTTGGTGAACCAAGTCATTCGGAGTCCATGCCCTCTATAATCCATTTGAAAGAGGTAATATGTGGTTGACAGAATTTTATTTCTTCTTCGCAACTTATTATTATGTTATCCATTTCTTCATTCTAGGATTTAAATGTGTCTTCCCTTTTTTACCTTGTCCTTCTTATTTTCAGCCACCATCCAGCTTAAGGCCAGTTCAAATGACAGAGAATAAAGCAGTGGAAATTATTGTAACCAAATTACTCTTGCGGTCGTATTATGACATTGTTAGAAAGAACATTCAAGACCTAGTTCCAAAAGCTATAATGCACTTTCTGGTATACCTATTTTCTTCCTTTTGTCCATATGTTCACATTTATACTGGTGTAATTTTTATCACTTGTACTATTGCCGGTTTTGTTCTCTGCTGCATCAAGCTTCCTTTGGTTTTTTTTTTTTTTTTTTCAACTTCTATGAAGTCCATTGATTTGTATCATTCTTAATGTGGCTTAGGTCAATCTTACAAAACGGAACCTTCATAGGACCTTTATTCAAAAACTGTACAGGTATGTCTGTTGTTCAAAAGGGGAACTATGTAGTTCTTTTTCTTTTTTGAGCCATTAACTAACATTCTTGTTTCTGAAACTGTATTTCCGTTGGGCTTCAAATAATACAGTCATTGTCTGATAAATAAGGCAATTTAATTCTTTATTATGATTATTTGAAAGACAAGGACTGCATTTGTGACACAAAGAATAGCACTGCATTACGGACAGGACTTCTGTGAAATACTCTATATCCTGCATAAATTTGTTTATTTTGGTTTTGTTCTAAGAACATGATTCAGAAATTGCTACATGTGGTTGATTGAAAACTTCGAGAGTGGTTTTTTTATTTATTCTTCTGGTAATTATGCAGAGAGAACCTGTTTGAAGAACTGCTGCAGGAGCATGATGCACTTGTTTCACAAAGAAAACGTAACCAAGAATTATTCAAGGTTTTGGAGCAATCTGTTCAGGTAGTTTTTTTAACGTTTTAGACAGTAAATAGTTCCTTAGTGATGTGAACAATATCATGAAAGGCTCGTTAAGTAATCAATTCTTGAGTTTGTTTGATTGGTCTTGGTTGAATATCATGAAATAAAATCCTTGGTCATCTTGTAGAAATTCTTGTTCTTTAGAAAAAGGAAACAGTTCTTGTTCGTTTTGAGGGATAACTTTTAACTATTTGTTTATTCTAGGCACTCGAGAAGGTTGACTTTGATGTCTCATCCCAAACTTCAAGTTTGGGCACTGATGTTTCCATTGGACTGCCAAGGATTCCGATGACTTCAGCCCATCTACACATGACAGCCGGCAGTGAGATAGCCCAAGTTTCATACCGTCCGTTTCCCATGCCAACCATGACTAAGTCCACAGCTTGAAGATCATTTCAATGAGAAAAGCCAGGCATGTATCCAATTTTTACTGGCCATTTAGATGATTACCATACTGATTTCCAGGTTGTACAGTGTGTTTTCTTCTCCGGTATGCTTTCTGCATATGGAAGCTTTAAAGTTGTACGATTAAAGACAAAAAATTTTAATTCAAAATAGCAGAGTTATATTAGTTATATATGTCTTGGGGAGTTTTGATGTATTTCCCTAACTTTCAATTGTACCGTTTATCTCTATTAGGATCGTAGCAAAGTAAATAGTTCTTGAGCACCTAACTTCTTCTTTGCTACATTTGTCTCTGTTTATCTCTATTTTTTTTTTTAATAAAACAACCAAATGCGGCAGTCTACACAAGTCACTGTGAAAAAAACATTTTGCAATTGAGGTGAGCGAGATTCTGTCAGATAAGTTTCAACATCAAAGAATCTAAACGTATAAAAAACACAGGCAACAGAATCTACATCGTCTTCTCGGCCTGAAAACGATGGCTCATAATCTCCTATGGGTCCTTATGAAGTTTGTTGTGTTCAATGCAATAGCAGCCGAGCATGCATAAACCCCAGCTGAGCTTATTGCTGCAGATACTAATAGCAGGGCCTTCCACTGCCTTCCCGAGACTAGAATTGCCAATGCAGCCGATGCAACAGCAATAGCAGTAAGGGCCTTTTGCCATGCTTGGAAAGCTTTGACAACATTTCTGCAGATTTTGCAATGAACCACGTGTCGAAAATACCGGTTGGCCAAATTGGGAGCATGCATGGATCCAATCCCTCCCTTTGCTGGCAAGGATGCAGAAACACCGGCAACAAGTCCTGCCGGCGCATGTTCCACCACAGCAGGCTCTTTGGGCAATGAGATTGTGCTGTGCCCAAAATGATAAGGCATCCCATGCCCAACTTTGTCCATCCATCTTCTGTATTCAGCAACCCATGTATCTGAAGATTTCAAGTTAAGGTACAACTCTTTGGTGGGTACTTTTTCTTTCATGAGTACCTCATTTTGAGATGAAAGAAATCCCATATCTTGCTCAAAGACCTTGCCTGCATTCTGATGAAAATACCAGATGGGAAACAATTTTGCCAGTGGAGACCTTTTTGTTCCACCAAATCTCACAATTAGCATGGATTTCCCCTGTCCAGTTGGCCTACAGAGAAATAGACCCGTGAAGTAGTGCTTCTCCCCATCCTTGTCAACAATTTCTCTATTGTTTTGAAGAGAACATGGTGCTTCAAACCTTAAGAAGCTTTTGGCTGATGGATCACTTGTCTTGCCCCACCAGCCTGCGAATCCTCTATCGCTGCGCTCGGTGACCTCAAAGCGCAGCGGTTGAGCATCTTCCCTTTTTGCACTCCAGTCTGTCCTGTCGTGTGAGATTGGAACATGGGCAGGATCCATGAGATTCTCCAAAAGTATGGAGTGGTCATAAGGGAGCTCATGGGTTGTAGAAGTATCTTGAAACCCTGGCCGAGCAAAGTTCTCAAACCAAGGTATCTTTGAAGGGTTTGGTGGTGTCTTCTGAGACATCCAAACCCACGCAACCCCTTGTGAGTCCCTCACCTCATATGTCTTCAAACAAGCTGATTTAGGAATTTTGGCATCAGCTGGAAGCTGTGATATTACAGACACAATTAAAGAGACATTCAACATCATTAACAATCTTAATTAATCAAAAGACAGACAGACAGACAAACCGACAGACCTGAGGGATCTTTACACATTTTCCTTGGGCGTCAAATTGCCAACCATGATATAAACATTCTAGTCTTCCATCAATCAACTGGCCTTCGGATAGTTTCGCCAACCTAGCTAAGATTGGATTGTCATGTCATGACCCAAGTTTTATTTTCATTAGTTATATATAGACAAAGCAAAAAGATGAAGGTACAATTTGAAGTTCAATATGACAAAGATTTCATCCAAAACTAAAATTCTAATTCTAAAGCAACTATAAATATTTCCATGCTATAGAAGGATCTACAGGAAAAGATAAGTTTACCTGTGGGGGCAGCGATCTTGGTAGCACTGGAGCTCTCCACTGCCGTCCCTGTACAGCACAAGTTGCTTATCAAACACAGTCAAGCCCAAAGGTGCGTCGTCCGGAATGTCCTGGGTGAGGTAGAGAGGGTACCATTCCTCTGTCCAATCATAGTCCGCCACGACCCTCTCTCCTCTCCTCTCAGCCTCGCTGGTGGGACCCACCAAGACCTTGTGATCCTCCTCCTCCTCCTGATGTTCATCAAGTGGGGGAGCAGGAGTTTTGATGTCTGCAACTGCACCACACTTGATGGTGCTTAGCTGCCTTCTTGTTGGAATTAAGGGTCTGAGAGGGTGGGGTGGGGAGGAGAGAGATAAGAGCAGTTTGAGTGGCTGTGGTTGTCTGGGAGTTGGGGGGAGGTGGTGGAGAGACGCGGAATGAGAAAGAAAGGGATGAAACAAAGCCATGTTTGATTGTATTGGAGAGGAAACAAAGGAAGAGGGAGATGATGACATGGCTGGCTGGCAGGGAGAGCTAAGGAGGAGGAGGAAATAATAAAGCCATCATCAAAGTGAATAATATGTGATGATACACACAGAGAGAGAGAGAGAGAGAGAGAGAGAGAGTGTAGCGTTGAAGGTTGCTTTGCTTAGAAGCTTGTTGCACTCCTGGTAGCCACACAATCTTTTCTTTGGTCAATCGACAAGAAATAGTGGTGGCTACTCTACTATGACTGTTTAGCTACACACTTGGAGTTAGACCTGTATCTGTATGTACCATTTTTGGTACTCAAAACATTCTTTATTTCATCCTTGGGTTGGGGAAGATATGGCATTTTATGGGGTTCCATTATATTATATGCATTGTCATGTGAGGCACAGCGCAATATATATATATATATATAATTGGTTTGGTGGGGTTTTGTTTTGTGAAACATCCAAACCCATACAAGTCATCCCTAACTTCAAGTAGAGGGCAGACCATGAAAGGGAAGCACATCACTATATGTATATGTACATATTCACCATAGTACAAACATCCCAGGAGTAAGGACTGTTCTTGTGTGAGGCTGATGAGGACTCTTCTCTTCTCCACCATCTCCTTGGACTGGAATGACCCTTATCATTAAGGACAGGTCTTCATAACTTGGGCTTCCATGCAATGTTATGAATCTACCCCAGACCCAGTTCTTGTGGTATGGCCAGGCCCATGAATATTTCTGTTTACTTTCGTTTGGGCCCGAACACCTCTTGAAAACAGGACCAGAAAAATGATGATACTACGATATAAAATGATAAAACTTGATATCATTAACAACTGGCCTATTAGCTCAGCTGGTTAGAGCGTCGTGCTAATAACGCGAAGGTCGCAGGTTCGAGACCTGCATGGGCCATAGTTCTTTTATTTTTTTATTTCGTCCCGCTTCTATTTTTGTTGTTGTTTCCAGTCCTTTTGATCAAGTGGAGGGGAGGTGTGCATGTTCATTTGATGCCTGTGAGTTTGAAAATTAGAGGAGATACCAATACATACACAATCATGTTTACTTGGCTAAGTTGGCTTGGAAATATTTCCACATGATGATGGATTATGACTCAAAAATCACAATCTCCTGAGTGTTCTTATGAAGTTTGTCGTATTCAATGCAACGGCAGCTGAGCATGCATAAGCTCCAGCTGAGAACACAGCCACTGACACCAGCAAAATGGCTTTCCACTGCCTCCCAGACACTAAAATAGCCACTGAGATCAGCCCAAGAGCAATACCAGAAAGACCAATTTTCCAGGCTTCAAAACTCTTCACAACATCTCTGCACCCTTTGCAATGAATCACATGCCTGAAATACCGGTTGGTCCGATTCGGAACATGCAGGCTTCCAATGCCTCCCTTAGCTGGTTGAGATGCTGAAACACTAGCAACAAGTCCTGCTGGTGCATGTTCTACCATGGCTGGCTCACTGGGCAATGATATAGTCCTGTGCCCAACATGATAAGGCATGCCATGCCCTACTCTGTCCACCCATTTCCAATACTCAGCTACCCATACATCAGATGATTTCAAATTAAGGTACAGATTTTTTGTGGGAGATTTTTCCTTCAAAAGTATCTCATTTTGAGATGAGAGAAATCCCATATCTTGCTCAAAAACTGTACATGAAATGTGATGGAAGTACCAATCTGGGAACAATTTAGCCAAAGGGGATTGCTTGGTGGCTCCAAACCTCATAATGGCCATGGATTTTCCCTGTCCTGTTGGTCTACAGAGGAAGAGACCAACAGAGTAGTGCTTCTCACCATTCTTGTCTACAAGTTCCCTTGTGTTTTCAATAACACCAGGTGCTTCAAACTTTAAGAAGTAAGGCAAGGATTGGTCTTTTGCCTTACCCCAATAGCCTGCAAAACCTCTATCAGTCCTCTCAGTCACCTCGAATCTCAGCGGCTGTGCATTTTCTATTTTCGCGGTAAAACCCGTCCTGTCATGTGAGATTGGAATGTGGGCAGGATCCATGAGATTCTCCAGAAGAATAGAGTGTTCATAAGGGAGATCATGGATTGTTGAAGAATAATCAAAGCCTGGCCTGTCAAAGTTTTCAAACCAAGGTAGCTTGTTGGGTTTGGGTGGTTTTTTGTGAGACATCCAAACCCAAACAACACCTTGAAGTCCCTCACCTCATATGCTTTAACACAAGCTGCTTTAGGAAGTTTAGCATCAGATGGGAGCTGTATAGTGCATGCAGAGATCAATTAAGGTCCCTTGATTAGTGTGGAATATTGTTAAATCAATTAAAATGGGAACCATATATAATGAAATGAAACAAAAAGTTTTGAATTACAAATACTCATTAGACACATACATATTACCTGTGGAATCTTTACACATTTTCCTTGGCCTTGGAATTGCCAACCATGATATAAACACTCCAGTCTTCCATCAATCAACTGGCCTTCTGATATTTTTGCAAGCCTTCAAAGAAAGAAAAAAAAAACACACACACACCAAAGAATTCACTTACACACACACACACACCAAATAATTCACTTTTTGTTAGCCGTGAAGTAGAAACTCAAAAGGTAACAAAACAGAGGAAGCAGAACAGAGGAAGCAAAACAGAAGACGAAACAGAGGAAAGAAAAACAAGATTTTCACTTAAGATTTTGTCAATGAAAAGAGGTTATGAATCATGAGATTACTAACAGTATTAAGTTTTTACCTGTGAGAGCAACGATCCTCGTAACAGCGAAGCAGACCAGAGCCATCACGATACAAAACGAGCTGCTCATCAAACACAGTAAGGCCTAAAGGTGCATCTTCTGGCAGGTCCTGGGTTAGATACAGAGGGTACTATTCTTCTGTCCAATCATACTCAGCCACGACCCTTTCACTTCTGTGCTCTTCTTCACCGGAAGGACTCACTAGAACCCTGTGATCTTGTTCCTCTTCTTTGAGATCATGATCAAGTGGAGGAGGTGCAGCAGCCGTGTGTTTGATATCATCAGTGACTGCATTACAACTAATTTTGTGGCTCTTTTTATTTGTGAATATTAATGGAAATGGTTTGATACCATGTTTCTGCCGCTGATCAAATTATTAATGCACAGTTATGTTCTGATCATTTGAGATTAAAAGAGAGAGAGAGAGAGACTGATTAGTAGAGA